GTAAAGCTGACATTTCGACTGAATTTCACATTGGCTTGCTTTCCCATGAGTTGTTCTCATCCTAAATTGCTGTTCACACTGGATAAGAACAACTTTTTGGAAACGTCAGATCTACTCATATCATTGTGCGAAAATGCTATCACCAGTCCTTCATCAGCTTAGACGAAATAGGGTAAATACCTCTTATATTACTGATTTACTGGTAGTCTCGAAACTCTACTCAAATAGTAAAATCATCAAATGATCAAGAAAAGCCCACCTTTTACTATTATCTGCACATTGTGACTAGCATGCCCCATGCTCGAACTGGCCACGCAGCTCACGTTCAGCGACTCGGTTAGGTCGACGAACTCAATATCAGCAATACCTGGCGCCCGTAGTCGTTCACCGATCGTCGATTGTGTCTGTGAACGAGCCGTCGTCAGTCCTGGGCGCTCAAGACCTTTGTAGCGATCCCGCATTGACGCTGTCGACGCTTCGTTGGCATCGGCGGAGGAGACGCCCTCCTGAGACGAGAACTTGTCGGCATCCGACCGCGGAGCACTGAGGCTGCTACGCAGTTCTGTACGATCCTTATACCAAGCAACGGTTGGCATCGGCTTGCCAGCGGCGCGACAGCGCAGTTTTAGACGGCCTCCCGGAGGCACGAATTGCACGGAGGTCGGGAGGTCAAGGAAGTGAGGGCGAATCTCATCTGGGGCAGTTGTAAGAGGAGGGCGACGGTGTTGATCGTGTGGACAAGAGAAAGACGTACAATTGGATGAGGACTGATTATAAAAAGTCATTCGTGGAGAATTGTCACAAAGAAGGTGAGTAGGAACTGTAATATCTAAATCTATCTGATAGAAGCATACAATTTGTGGCCTAAACTATGTGAACTGTTTAGTCCAAAGTAATCAGATATTGGAAGCATTACCTATGACGCGAGTTTTAAATGTCTACAATAGGGATTGCATGAAAATTATTTTCTCATAGATGAATAAATCATAAACAATAATAAAAATAATAAATAATAAGCTTACAAGAGAAGGCCAGGAGTATTGTTCAATTAGTATGCAGATTGCAACACACCATAACAAAACCACTTTATGCAATTACAAAAATAGCTCTCTGAAATGTAATGGACAATGCTACAATAAGGTTGTATTTGGCGATTAAACCAGAATCGAGAGAAGTTGTACAGGAAGCGACGTCTGGCTGGCTCACAAATGATAAAGTCATTATAAGCGGAATTAATGGAGCGTCATCGCATCATTTACCAAACATGATTTCCATCAAATAGCGAATGACCGGCGTAAATGTGGCTAATCGTACTTAAACGCCAATTGTAAAATAGAGATTCATTGATAGTTAAGATAATGAAGACTTTCTAAAAGAGGAATAATGTAGAAAAATATAGCCACAACGAATTTTTACAATTAGCCCCGAGAAGCAAAGCGTAGGCGATCGGACCAACTGCAAACACACAACTTCGACACATTCCCACTACATTCCCAGACGTTTCGCCGGCATCGACAGTGAGTCTCGCCATTCTTAGCACCACACGATCTTTTGACCAAACGTGTGCTAAACATTTGTGGTATCTGCCCTTCTGCCCTAAGCTATTCACATTTCCCATATCCTCGCATCACGCCGTCACTGTTACAATTTTTTAAAGTGTTAATTTAGATGTAGTGTGGTGTGCTCCTTTGAGCGGAATTCATGAAAACCCTTCACACTCCACGCTGTCGTTTTCACCCCCTTCACCCTTGTGCTGGGAATGTTGATCAGAGTCTGCTATATTGTTGCGCAGTCCTTCTTTCCTAGGTCTTATCACAGTCTCTCTCTTGCCCTGTAGGATCCGTCAGCTAAGTCTCTGGTTCAAGTATTTCACTCGACCCCTGCTACCCCATCTGTTATTACTCATATTCTTTGTCTGGGTAAGTAATCCGAGGATAAAGCCTCTGAATAACACCTCAAGTAGCACAGATGGGGTGACAGGGGTTGAGTGAAATACTTGTACCAGGGAGAGAGCAGACGGATCTTACGGAGCAAGAGATAGACTGTGATAGGACCTAGGAAAGGAGGACTGCGTAACAATATAGCAGACTCTGATCAACATTCCCAGAACAAGGGTGAAGGTGGTGAGAACGACAGTGTGGATTGTGAAGGGTTGTCATGACTGCCGCTCAAAGGGGCGCACCACACTACATCGAAATAGGCACGGAAATAATTGTAATGGTGAAGGAGTGATAGGAGGATATAGAAATGTGAATAGCCCAGGGCAGAAGATGAGATACC